TGACTATAATGCTGTAACGCAACGCGATTATACGCCGCCATGTCTCTCGATTCGCTTGATGCGGGGGGACAATAGAAATGGAACTCGTGCGCGCTTGACCGAGCAACGCGCAACCTCATCCCGAATGGGACACTAATTAATTATCTTCCGCGCGCGGCACACCGCCCCGAAGGAATTCGGCGCTCGCTGGCCTGTTTGCCGATCGGCTTCCGGCTTCGACTTCTGCATGAACAAACAAAACTATATTTTATGGCTCCGCACATATGTAATCTGGATTGATTTATTCAACTTGTTTTTTTGTTTTTCCAGGCGAAAAAATGTTGTGTCATTGGTTGCATAACTATGTTAGGTCATGTAACAGATGAAAAAAACATTTTTTGGTGGAATAAACAAGATTAAATCACTTTTTATACATAAAAACGTTACAAGTTCATTATTTTAATATAGTTTCCTTCAAAAGCGATGAGAAAATAATTAAATAAACGAATCCTCTTAAAATTCAAAGTTTGAGGTTAGTTAAATTTCCGCCATGCGCCATTTTGACACTAACCTCACAATTCCTTCAAGTACCTAACACCTTGTGACATTTTAAAACTAAGTTTTTGCAGATTCCCGTCGTCGTAATTCTTGCACTCGGTTTGCGCAACTGTTTTATTCCTCTCCTCGGTGCGATTAAAGCGGAAACGAATTGTGCGCGCGCGCGTGTTGCCCGAAAATGGTAAAAATATTCAAATGAAAATAAAAACGACAATTCACTAGAGAATCACAGCAAGCGGAAAGATTTCCATACGTTTGCATTACGCTGGTGTATCGCACATCCCTCGTGCCCCATATGACCTAACCGCATTTGCAAAACAAACGTTTTTATCCAATACCGGAACAGAACACTTAAATCAACTCAACTTCCAGTTTGTGAAGTTTCCCGCACGTTGTTTGAGCAGGAATGCGACTGTAATAATCAAATAATTCACACGATCTTATCCTCGCAAAGTTTGCAGCCGGATGCTCCTCAATCAAGCCCTAATATTTGTCTAAGTCCAAGATAGCCGAATATCGAGGCAACCCTTTCATTGTTTAACTAACCGACCACTCAGCATGTGTCAACATTAATTGACCTAACACCAAACTTCCCGAACAAATAATTCCTCAACATTCATAGCAATTCAGAGCGCGTAATCTTGACTAATTGAATTTGGTATAAAATACGTTTTTTTTCTTCTCTGCGTAATTCTCTGGAGACCGCAACGCTCGGCTTTTATCACAAATTGTCGAGGTCAATTGAATTGCGAGGAACAAGGGTTGATTCGATGGAAAAAATGAAAACTGTACCCTGAAACGCCCCACGGGGGACGTCGCCCAGTATTAGAATGTTTTGCTCCTTAAAACTTTACGACGCGACCGTTATATCGACGAATTTCTTCGCAGTCGTAAAAGTTTTATTCCGCGCGCGCGCGACCTGCATGAAGATGTGATGCGATGTCTTCGTGCTGCGGCGTATGACAGTATAATATTCTGTTTATTATTTCAATTAGTCGTTTTCTTCTCGGCGTACTTACTCGGCTCTCAGACATATTATATAGCGGTGCATAAATTACTGATTTACGAGTGGAACTTGACGCTTTGACATTTAACTTGATTATTATTTCGTATTCTTCTTATATTCAAATGGAAACAGTAAAATTTAGTGCTAAATATGTTATTGCATCACAAATTAAATTAAATTTTACAGTTTTTTAAGTAAAATATTAAAAATTATCAAAAAAATTTTTTTTTTGTTTAAATTTTTTATAAAATGCAAATTTAGTTGACGTTGGAAGATTGTAAGATCGATAGCATCTGTGCATCCGTTGCAGAATGCGTTCTTTGCACAGGAAACCATAATTTAGTGGATTTACAACCCGAAATGCCTTGGAGGATTTCGCGGTCGAAGCAGAAGACACCAGAGACACACAGAATGATGCAGTTAAACATCAGGTGCAACCAAATCACAAACAACACCATTAAAAAGCATAATCAAAAAATATCCTAATAGAAATTGTGTTTTAACAGTCGGTAATTTCACTATTTTATGTTAAAAATCATAAAAATCACAATAACTGCAAAACTATAAAAAGTAAAAGGTTTATTTTAACATCTACCGCTAGATGACAGTAAAAGGTTTATTTTAACATCTACCGCTAGATGACAGTAAAAACAATAAAATAAATAATTACCATTATAGAAATTATTATAATTAAACTTGAAATATGCGAAAAACATTGAAAAAGCGTAAAACTAGCACAAACACTTGAAAATGATGTCAAAAGGTAAGAGCTGATTTATATCCTGGATACCAGCACGATTAATGTGGTACTTTACTGCATACACTGCCTAACACATGGATGTTTTATGCTTTGTTACGCGACATTAGCATATGCTCGTGGATTTTATGTGATCCCGGTTCCGGCGGCGGGATCGCGCTGTTTCGCGGCGCTTGTTCCACGCGCGCGTAGACAAAATCAGATTACTTCACTCGGTATCATATTAGATAGGTTTTTATTATGCTCTGCATATGCGGCTTTCGCTTCCAGCATCTCTCCGCCCGGCTTTGAGAGAAACAAGCGATAGTAATAATAATAATAAGAATAATCTGCTTCTTTGCTTTTGCTCCTCGAAGCGCGTATTTTTCTTTCAAAGCAATACAAGACTATGCAGCAGCATTGCATCTGGCATCTATTTATAGCGTTCGTATTATTTTCAAGTTTATTACGAACGATGACATTTCAAATAAAATTCGCTATTCGTAGAATCAGTTGTCTCGCGTTTACCGACGTTTTACGAAATCAGTTTTTCTAAGACAATCTAAGCCGCACAACGCACTATAATGAGATTTCTCGGCGTTGTTTTGCGCTGTCTTCGTCGATTTTTTTCGTGTTCGGTTTGTAAGATGAAGAAAAAAAAAACCACCGCATCACGCACATTTTCCACACCGGCGGAACGCAATTTGGGCAAACCCCAGCTCTGGCTCACCTAAATATCGTTTTACACTTGACTCACTATACAATTCATGAATAAATTCGCCCCGTGGAATAGATTGCGAATGTGCCGTTTTTGTCATCCGGGCAGAAGGCGACGAACGTCGATAACTAAATAAGCTCCGATTTTCGTACACGTCACGTAGTTAATTGAGATATTCGTCTTTTAGCCCAATTTCCGTTCGGAGGCGAGTTTTAAGAGTATGTCAATGTCACCAACAAGCTGCTTGCCAAGCACTTCGCTCCTGTTCACCGCTATTCTCCTCCAGAAAGGAAAATACGTGGAAAACGCACAAAGGAGGCTTCTTTTTGTTTGTTTCTCGATGGTTTTTCTGCGCTCTTTTATGGTTGACAATGCAGTCAATGTGGAATATTCCACGGTGTATGGTTTCGGTGAGTCGAGGTGAATATGTGCGACAAGGAAATTAGAAACGCAAAAGGGTCAACCTTCATCAAACAGTAATCCGAGAACAAACCGCAACAAGTTAAATATTTTCGTTGCGTGACACGCTGGATAAGGATAAGCGCGCAGCGACGTCCTTCAGACTTTTCCTCCTTTTATCTCCGGCCATGATTTTCTTTTTTTTTTCATTTTATACGTATGTCTAAAAGTGTTCTGCTTTTCAGCGGTCGCCCGAGAGACACTTTCTTTGCTCAAACTCACAAAGATAACATAATACCGCGGAAATGAAGGTCTGTTTTATGAATTCTTAGCGAAACTAAGAGTTGACCCGCTGAGATTAATTATCCAGGATGTTCCATAATAAAATTTCGTTGAATATTGTGCAAACTATTCGTTGCAGCGCGAGCGTAGCATAAAAACTCGTTTGTGTACAAGAGAATCGCAATATAAACAAAGGCAATCGTGCGCGGAGATAAGTTTCAAAACATGTTTCAACATGTTTCGTTTTATCATTTATTCTTCACTGGCGGGCAGCTATGGCCATCTAGACGGCGTATTGTATACTATTACGGCTATAAAAATAGGCATGTAATTAAACGAACTTTATTTTTTCGATTTTTAACTTGTCAATTCATTAAATGCACTTATAATTAATGCTTGCACTTAAAAATACAGAACTGAACTTAAAAATAAATATTTGCACTTTGAAAAAATAATTCCACTTGAATAAAATGCTTTCCACTATGAAATTAATACTTTGCACTTATAAAACTGGCAGTATTAAGTACGTGCCGTATTCTTAACCAAACATTCGCCAATAGAGCGCGCCACTATGCATTAATCAACTGCAAAACTGCAAAATGTCATACATCCTCCCATACGTGCTTGCATTCTTCCTCTGCAGTAGGAAATATATGCATGGCGGATAAGAATTGTTTACTTTAGCGTGCCACGTATACAGTTGATAAAATATTTTTGGCACTTTATCAAAAGTACCATCGCCATATATTTCCTCCTGATTCAATTGTATTAACAATGATCTATCTCCCAAAGAAAAAATAAAGTTCGTTAAATTACATGTCTTATAAAACTTGCAGTATTAAGTACGTGCCGTACTCTTTACCGGCCCCTTCTATCACCATCCCCACCCCCACCGCCCCACAAATAATACCAAACAAGGTAGTCTACCTAACCACCACCCCCCAACCCCCCGACCGCCCCACAAATAATACAAGACAAGGTAGCCTACCTAACCACCACAAATTATAAAGTTTCAATTTAAAAAGTTGATTCAAAACAAATTTAAGCTTAAACCTGAATATATAAGTGCATTGTGTTAAAATATAAGTTATACAATCTATAGTGCATAATATGAATTTCTTAGTGCAAAGTATGAAAACTTAAGTGCGGCTGTTCAAGTGGATTGTATTTAAACTAAAGTGCATTTAATATATCCCCATAAAAATATATAAATCAGCATTGCAGCGCCATCTAGCGATCTTTTTATTAACTAAAGTTGACATTGCTTTTAAACAAAGTAAAATATCAAAATTGAAGACAAAAAGAGAATAAAATAGAATGAATATCAATGAATTTGTTTATTAAAATTGTTATTTGTTATGAACCATACAAGTATGTAATATGTGCTCTTTTATCGATATACGCGCGACGCCCGCGGATGGACGTCAAACGCAACATACAAAATGGTAGATAATAATATCATCTAACAGTAAACCTTCTAATAATAATATTAATAAAAAATGAATCAATAATGAAATGTGTCTTCAATGTAATACATACTAACAACATCTTGCAAATCTTTGGGATACCATTTGTACAATCATTAAACTAAAATTTAAACGTTTCAATTACTTTGTTTCCATTTTCTTAGAGTTTTTTTCGACGACTCACGACACTTATTTTATAACATTGATGCATCTCAATAATAGAACAAACAAGCGTTCATCGACCCGCGCCGATTCAACATAAATAAATATTTATATATTTAGGTATCTATAAACTGAGTTTAAATAACTAGAAACAACTCATAAACGTTTCATTCGAATATCGCAACTGATCTAGGTGCCCGTTTTGTTCTTTAGCTAAATTGGTGACGATGAGATGGTTTCTGGCTGAGTGAACTTAGTGTTTTAGACTGTTTGATAAGTTAATTCGAGTTGCGATATATAGCTTATGCTGAATCATATAAAATCTACTCTCGTCCGCGTCAAACGCTTGGAAGATTTTAATATAATTAAAAGGTTTTGTTTCTTTAGATTAGTGGCTTTGGTACGAGGAGCATTCTGTAAGCACAACTGAAGCGAACACTATTCGGGTACGAATCCGTCTCAATTATCAACTCTACCAGAATCCCGACGACTTGCCGCCTGGGGGATTCTTAACTTTGATGCAGGACTTTCGCTCGGTATCCATTTCCTCTGCGGGACAAAATAATCAAATTAAACAATTTAATTAATACGAATTTAGAAAGTTAAGAACTGTTACCGCTGATGGAAAATGTGGAATCCTGAATGTTGCGCTGTCCTTCCGGTCGAGCGCCTCGACAAGATGGCGTCCCAATGGCCGAGTCAGGCAGTGTTGGAGTAAAGCACGTCTTCGGCTCGAATTCGATCTTTATCAACAAACAAAATGCGTGTTTAACGCAAACATGTCTCCCCAAAAGATCTGCTAAACGTTATCTAAGTGAAACGTGATGTAACAGCCAGCACCACCACTACGAAAGTGTGTTACAGGAAGGACAAACAAAAAAAGGAGGAGACTAATAATAGATAAGACCTAAAAAAGGGCACATTCAAGCATGTAATCATTATGCAATGTTATACAACACAAACAAAACGCACTAAACAAGAGAAGATTAGATTGTAAATTGTAGTTATGATGCAATACGACTACAGCGCCATTAGTTTACCTTTGCGAGTTTATTATGAAGTTCAACTTCGTCCAAAACTCCATTCTTCTTAGATTCAAAGATCTCCTCCAATTTTTCTGGTGCGTAGATAAACGGAGCGTTCACGGGAGTTTCCACAAATGTACCGTGGCCTTGCACAGCGCGCAGGTTCTCATCGTCAACGCAAACTCGTCCGTTGACAATAACAAACTCAGGTACGCCATGGCAAACCATTCCCTCAAAGATATTGAAATCCACAGCAAGATGGTGAGTCTGCGCGGAGATGGTTTGTGTCTTTGCTGGATTCCAGATGACAATGTCAGCATCAGATCCAACAGCAATACATCCCTTGCGTGGATAAACATTGAAGAGTTTCGCGGCGTTGGTGCTTGTAATGGCGACAAAACGGCTGGGATCAATCAGGCCAGAATGTACACCTTTCTCCCAGATGACAGCCATGCGTGACTCGACGCCATTCACACCATTGGGGATCTTGGAGAAGTCGCCTTGACCCATCGCCTTCTGTTCCTTTTTGAACGTGCAATGATCGCTTCCGGTCAATTGCAACACGTCCCTGCAAGACAACCAATTCAAACATCCGCCCGGCCATAAACTACTCACAGTAATGTATGTTAATAAATGTATTAGTCATGCATGCAGCGTGCGTGGCGAATGAATGAATGTTAGAAGTGTTAGTGAAGCGGACTTACGATGCGATCAGGTCCCAGAGCTTTTCGGGAGCTTCCGGATTCGACCGCAAGGGCGGCGAAGCAATGGTGTAGATCACATTGGGGTTGCCAATCATGCTCAAATTGTGCACGTGGCTCGCCCCGTATACAATCTGCCCATTCGCTTGAGCTTCCTTTATCACCTCGCCAGACTCGCCTGTGGTGACGTTGTCAATGCACAGCGGTGCCTCGACCTGTATTAGCAAACAAACGCAAGCCAAACAGTTGTAACCACATCACAACCAATTCCAATGCGGGTATCACGCGGCAATGAATATGTATTATGTAAAAGCCAGTGTGAAAACAGTCCCAAAGCCCCAAGTTAGTAGAAAAACACCGGTGATTGATTAGAGCACCCGAACGACTTACTGTGCTAAAAGATTCATCAGATATCCGGGCGTTGTGGGATCGGGCCGTAATGGCGGGCTCAGTATATGCCCAGCGGAATGATGGAAACAGGTGTGCTTGTAATGGCTGCCGTCGGTGCCCAACGCGGCAACCAGTGTTTCGCCCCACACTTGTGCGCCGCCATCACGGTGCTCTCTTATAACATTACCAGCCGACTTGCTCATTACATGCACAACGTACAGCGGACTATCTGCCTAGAATGAGACCCCCCCGATGGAAAATAAACAACAAACGAAACGGAAAACAACTGGAGCAATATCTCGGTCGTTAAAACGGTAAACCGAACCGATTCGGCGCGTTCAACGCAAAAGAAACTGTTTATAATGTGTTTGTGTGTGGATATAAAGCGTGTATTGTGTAGTTGTTTACTTACTGCCTTGGCAATAACGCATGCACGATTGACTGCCTCGGCTTCGACGCTTTCCGGACGCGATAGTTCATGTCCCTCGGGGCCGGTAACACCTTGCGCCTTGAGTTTCTCGACGTTCTTCCGGATAATTGATCCGTTTTCAGCGTGGACTTGAGCAAGCGCACCCAGATTCTTACAGGCCTCCATCGCTGAATACAGCTCCTCGTCGTTGAGCATGAAGTCATACGCCATGAACATCTTGAATGAATTCACACCGTGCTGCTGACACAGCGTTTTCATCTCGTCACGCACTCGGTCATTCCACGACGTGAGGCATACGTGAAGCCCATAATCGCAGCAGACTTTATCGTCGGCCTTTTGTCTGTATTCGTGGTATTTGTCCAGGATGGACTCGCCTTTCTTGGGGAACACGAAGTCGACTATAAATTATAACTGATTAATAATATGCATGAATATAGGTAGTTAATGTTTTATTACTTATCATGGTGGTGCCACCAGCAATGGCGGCTTTGGTCCCCTGATAAAAATCGTCAACGGAGCGAGTGCCCATGAAGTCAAACTCGAAATGCGTGTGCGGATCAATACCTCCGGGGAGGATGTACCTGCCACGGGCGTCAATAACACGCGTGCCGCCTGGAATGATGAGATTCTTTCCGATTTGTTTAATGATGCCATCCTCGATGAAGACGTCATCTTCCAGGATGCCTGTCTCGTTGACAACTTTGCCATTTTTGATAATCAGACGATTTTGAGAGCTCTAAAATAAAATTTTAGTATTTAATAATAGTAAACTTAATTTTTATACAAAATACTCAAAGATTTTAGGTTATGGTACCCAAAATACAAACTTTATTCACTTGAACACCACCACGTGTGACTTTTAACATGTAAATATTAACAATATCGTGGGAAATAGTCCAAAACAAGCATAAATTTATCAAGTAGCAACTCGTAGCCTAAAATCCCAAATCGGTAATTGAAGGGTTCAACAGCTGTGTGTTCACTTTCATAATTCGTGGGCGGTGGGCATCTATTACTCTCCACTGGCGCGTGTATAATTAATTAGTGAAAAATTAATCGTAACACAAAGCGGGAAAGTGGAATATTCGTTGTTTGAGTTTTCATTTCAAGATAATGATGAGGCTATTTATATGTAACACGGTCAACAAATAAGTAGAATAGAATAGAATAGAATACAATAGCAGTTATTTATTTATTTAATCTAGATATTTTTCATTATTTATCTTCTTATTTAGTATTCCAATGGCGCGATATTTAAACACGCGCATGCGCAGTATCAATATATTCCTACTAGGCGTGTCGGATCAATGCACAACTAAAGTCACACATGATTAACTCGCAAATTAAAAGAGTATTCATTGTACAACAAATTAGTTTTATTTGTGTACTAAATTCAAGTCTAAAAATGAACAAAACCAGTCTAATACGTTTAATCTGGGACAGAATCGCTGCAGATGTTTATTTGGAAAGTGTAGTTTCACTTTTTTCAAAGTTAACTCAGTTAACTTCAAAGTAATGAGAATAGTCAACAGATGAACGAGGTTTATGATGACTTTGATTGCTTTGGACTCACAGAGACATGAACTTGCGCAGTGTATGCAAAGTCAGCGAAGTCAACGAACGAAACGAAACAGTTTTCAATCGAAAAATATTGTCAAACAAACCGAAATAAGTCACAAATTGAAGCAGTATATATTTTTAACTAGAAAAGGCTCTCAGGACGCTTAATAAATTATTCACGCGATGGAAACGATCGATTAACAGCCCCCTTTCGATAGTTTTTCGGTGCACCGAACTTGGAAACAACGTCTGAGTGTAATTGCGTGATAACAGCCTAATCGTGCTGAAAATCACGCCGCAATAATACCCACATTACCCACACGTGCATCACAATATCGAACGGGGTGGAGCAGGGTGACGAACTTTAATATACAACCCAACATACACCAGCGTCGCACCCCACGTGATAAATACCGGTACGAAAATTTTACCAACGCCAAGAAAGCGCCGCCCGAAATAAACCGGCGTCTATTTTATTTGACTATTCCGACTTGCACACGTCTGGATAAAAGTGCGCAGTTATATTTAGCGTATTTATTAGCACTCTCGCACGCATAACGGCCTGCGCATGCTTAAAACACGCCATAATTAAAACACGTTTAATTAGGAATTAACGCATTGATAACCAAGCGCGCCGTAATGTTATGTTTAATTAAAACGCGTCCGGTTTTTTTTTTCATTTCGGTTGTGCCGGGTTTTGTCCGTGTGAGTGAGTGTGAGTACGCCGGTTGATCAATTTAGCAGCGCCGGCCGGGAATACAGGGCGTTCCAGCAGGAATGGGAGTAAAATCAATAATCTCCCGGCGAAGGCGGCACGACACGCGCATCCAGAATTTTTTTCCCCAATTCTACTGCTCACATCTTACATCATATGTAATTTTCTATTGTATGGAGGAATTTTGTTTACGCAGCTTGCGAACGTGGGTGTCTTGCGAATAAAATAAAACGTATATAAAACCACGCAGCTGCTTTTCATACCTGTAAATGAATGGGGACTTTTTTCACCGGCGTGCTCATCTTGAAGTTTTTATCACTGCACGAAGCAACAACTCACTGAAGATGTACGGGCTGTCAGCACAAAATAAAACCAGAGCGCGCGATTTTTCAGTTGCGCCGCTTTCGAACGCGGTGTGATCGCGACTGCGACGTTTCTCGTTGGCGCGTTGGACAAAGTCAGGCGAGGTTCTCTGTTTCCAACGCCCGTATGTACTGCACAGCGCACCGTTACGTTAACTCAACTTGCGTGCGTTGTTCGTACGATCGGCCAACCGTGCGGCGTCGACTGCAGACTCTACTGCAACTCACTCGCACTTCAACAGCTCCCAGTTTCGGATAGGAACTAGCGGAGTTTTGTTGAGGGAAGTCGGCGGTCGCCCCGTTATGCGCGTTTGTCTGTTGCTGGTTGCGCTACTACTGCTGCTGCGAATGCGAATGCGGGTGGATGGAAAATCGGGAAAATTCAACGCGCACGATATCGTGCGTCGTTCTTCCGCGACGCGAGCATTGACAAACATTTTGCATAATTTTTCTATAGAAATTGAGTTTACTGTTAGTTTATTATGTTTTATCGATGCAAGTTCAAGTTTAAAATGATAAATCCAGTATAAAAACGCTGTCTTGCATATAATTATTGCTGTTTTATCGTAAATTAAACAAAGTTTATGGGTTTTATGACCATTAAATTCATTTTACTGTCAGTGTTTATTTAATAATCATTTAATTATTTTTATAAGATAATACAATAACTTTGGTCAGTGCTGCCCTCTTTTCTGGCTGACAGTTGTGTTCCCCTGATAGGTATGCAACCCAAACAGCACAAAAATCTACACAACCTTCTTTTTTCACTATTTAAACATTAAAAACATATTTTAATGTAATTTTCTGTTGTACAATGAATACACAATAATAAAACTGATGAAATTATTTTGTGAAACTATTGCATTATTCAATTTTGTTGTGTTGGCGATTCCAACGTGGAAGAAACAACGTGGCATTGTGTGTATTCTTCAGTAATGAATCATTTCACCCGATTTTCACTCATATATAGCCCAACCGCATGCTAGGCTTTATCTCAATCGCCGCGAAGTACGTACACGTACTTCATACATTTCGTAAATTCGTATTTGTACGCGTAGTCGCGCTGCTCGCAGTGTCGACTGTGTCGGCGTCATTCACACGGTGTGTATACAAGTTCGGTACGAGCAGCCGCACCGCACCAGTATCACTCGTTACGACGTGGCAGTGGCGCATTTTCGCAATTACAACGACCGATTCAATCGCAGGGAAAGCCGCCGCACGCCACCATCATGGGCCTGACGATATCCAGCGTCCTCACGAAGCTCTTCGGCAAGAAGCAGATGCGCATTCTGATGGGTAAGGAGGTTATGTGTGACTCATTACACCTATCAATAAAATTGCGCTGCAAATATGTACACATTATCGAAGTGAAGTTGTGATTGCGGATTGCGACGCATGATTGCCTGCCAATGCCTGACTGATTGATGTGATTGTTTTAGTCGGGCTTGATGCTGCCGGCAAGACCACAATCCTGTACAAATTGAAGTTGGGCGAGATTGTGACGACGATTCCAACGATCGGCTTCAACGTCGAAACTGTCGAGTACAAGAACATCTGCTTTACGGTGTGGGACGTCGGCGGTCAGGATAAAATCCGTCTTTTGTGGCGTCACTACTTCCAGAACACTCAGGGACTTATCTTTGTGGTGGACTCCAATGACAGGGAGAGGATTGGGGAAGCTCAGAAGGAGCTACAGAATATGGTCAGTATAATCACATTTAAAATCATACAGAAGGGAAAATATTAACATTTGCGTTGTTTAGTTACAAGAGGACGAACTGCGTGATGCAGTGCTGCTTGTATTTGCCAACAAGCAGGATCTACCAAACTCCATGAATGCTGCAGAACTCACAGATCTTCTACAGTTGAATCAGCTACGTAATCGTCAAGTAAGAAATAAAATTTGCTCATTTTGCACGAGTAAATTATTGCGCAAAATGTGATTTTTCACATGTCACTATAGGCAACCAATGAAACAACTCATCATCCGCCATTTTCATTACCAACTTTGTGTTTTTTTCTTAACTTTTGTAATATTTCCAGTGGTATATCCAGTCCACATGTGCCACCCAAGGTGAAGGTTTGTATGAGGGTCTAGACTGGTTGTCCAATGAGTTGGCTAAGAAGTAAACTCAACCAGCCGAGAAATAAGCATGCCAACTGCGTTTTAGTTAACACACAACACACTCTTATATATAAAGCATAATGCGTTTTGTTTTTTCATATAACGAATCTCCGTCGAATCAGCACTTCTTTAATGTAACGTTTTTGGTTTGTGATTGGCGGATTTTCCTCAAAATTTAGTAATTAAAATTGGTACATATTAAGCATTTGAAACATGTTATTCTTAAGTTAATTTCTAATATTCCTCTTTGTGATTTATGTAAGTATTTAATAAGAAAAATACAAAATTTAGACGAATGCCGCTGTCAAATATGTCGCAACAGTTTTAAAATATGTTGTATTTTTATTTCATTTTTCTGTAATATTGTGCCAGTTATTCATATATTCAAACGACTCGTATATTGCAATCGACATAATAATGCGCACAAAACATAAAAATTGATAATAGAAACGTAGTAAAACGTGAAAGTAAGTTGCAGCCATCGACGATAGACTTTAGTTCGTTCGGAGCTGATAGTCGCCATTTTGTGTTATGTAGCGCACCCATGGCAGCGCCTGGTAGCCACTCTTTTCAATAATCTTCAAATAACGCACCTAAAGAGTTAAAAACAACATAAATAACTTGTTTTACATTAGAAATTGTAGGTTATACCTGTATACCAGAAGTGGTAAAGTACGGAATCTCAAATTTAACCTGAATCGGCGGTTTGCCTTCAAGATCTTCACATTCAACACTAGGCAAACCAAAATGCGCCCTCATCAGATATTCCTTACCACCTGGGAAAGACTTAATCGACCATGTAATCGCATTCTGCTCCGGAGCGTATTTAACACTACCGATTGTAGTCTTAAACTTTGGCGAGTCCGCATCAGCAGGCACCGGGATAATAATCTCAACGTTATTAGCTGTTGAACGTCGTTTAAACTGCGACTTGGCTTTAATCATGTACTCAACACGACTGTGCGCATGTCGCTCAATCACCGATTCGATCCAAATTAAAGGTTTCACCTTCAAAAACAAAAAAATATCAAAAATTTGCTTAAATATCAAATAATATAATACTTACATGCGTGTTTAGTCTATATGACATCAATTCAAACTCGCCATCAGGTGGAATGAACGAAATAGTGCGATCATTCTCAAACCGTGACAGGCGCACGCATTGATGAAACTTTACATCCTCCAACTCGACAGACTTCGACTTACCGCGCCCTGTACTCTCAAATAATACTTTATCATTCAACCCCAGCCGCAATTCCGGCATGCCAGACAAATAAACACGCATTTTAATAGCGCCGACGATCTCACTCCGTAGAACATTGCCATTTGCATTGGCGAGGAGATTAACCGATTCGATTACGTCGAGAAAAACTTCGTTTTTTCGGTATTTTATACCCTCGGAGCGCCATGACACTGCATTGGTCACAGCCATGGGGATTCTCGGCTGTATTTCCAACTTGTGGCCTTCTTGAGTGATGTACTCTTGAAGGATTTTACTGTCCGTGGTTTGCGGATAGCCAAAGTCAAGTAATTCGTCCATCAGTTCATAAATGACGACGAAATTATCACGTATGCTTTCCTCTTCGAGTTCTTTGAAGTACTCGGACATTACCTGCACGATTTTGTGCAGGAATACGAAAATGAGCGCCGCGTTGGCGTTCTTTTTCGTTATGCTCACTATGTACAAGTTGTTGGTTTTGATGTAGCTGAAGGTGGCTTCAGCTGTTTGTAAAATTGGTGTAAGCATACTGTCTTCTTCTTTTTCCATCAGCAGAGGCATGAACTTTTCAATTACACCCATGTCAATATCTCCTCTGTAATTCCTTGATATTAACACCTGAAAAGTAACAAAATTTATAGTTTTTCTTAAATAACTCAAAAAGTATAAGAGATAAAATAAAAATTCTTTCAGGATAATATTCCTGCAGTAATTCTACATCATTTTTTGTTAAAAACATAAGAATATGTTAATATTAAGCAATATTTCTTATATTTTTTAGCAAATTATGCAATATTTTTGTTTTACTTGTGAAATAATTTGTAATATACCTTCCCCTTCACGTCCAAAATAAAGATAGCTGAAGAAGACATCCTGAACGTCCCTAACACTCAACATTCGTAAAAACACCTGTACAAAATCAGTCGTCGTCGCTCACTTGTTTCACTTGTCTCTCTAAACAACAGCCATGTTGGTTCCACCTGAAAGCAAATCGAATCAGAATGATGGTTAGCGTAAGCAGGTCGTGTAAATTAATGCATGAACACACCTTTGGTTAATCACGAATGCGATTAGCTGGTGTTGCATGCATTTATCATTTATTCAGTGTACAATTTGTGGCGATGTGACAAGACAATCCGAAAACTTGACCGGTTGACAGAAAGGCAACGATGCCACAGTGACATATTATATTGTTTCGGATACAAAGTTTTAAATGTTTTAGGATGTAAAAATAATAACAACATTTAAAGAATTGATTGTGATAGTATGGTTGATAATATTTATTGTTTTGTATTGTGTGTTATTAATTAAATATATTTTTTTGTCTTGACAGTGTTACACCTTAAAGTACGTGGCAACACCGCATTCGTAGACGACGTGTAAAACAAAATGGCGGCGCATTCAAAACGACATTCATTTGTTACAGAAAACGTATGAATCTGATGAGAAATCAGCGGTTTTATAAATGATTTAACTATAAAATAATTCGTTTTAAATGTTGGGTGATAAATTGCGCGTGTGAGGATAGTTGTGGTGCATCGGGCGTCGCATTCGATCTTCTATTTACCCATCATGCACCGTGAGTGGGAGTGAGTGTGTCCCGTTCGCGCAGCGGCAGCTCCGTCTGCCTGTCGTTGAACCTGCGCGCCCGCTGCGCCCGCTTTAGTCGCGTTCGGTGCCCGCATCCCTGTCCGAATAATTCGCGCACCGCATCGCAGATCGCATCCGCGAGAGTCGCAAATGTTCCTCATACACCGCACGGGGATTGAACGGCGGGCGCGCGTGTGATGTGACCGCACGGATCGGAGCGAGAAGCGATCGAATCCGTTCGGTGCGGCGGCCGCCAGGGATCGGCGTGCGTGCGTGCGTGCGGGGCGGCGAACAGCGAGTTGTGCGCTGCGGCAGCGGCGTCCGAGGTGGAGATCGGCGGCCCTTTTTTTCTGGTGACGTAGTCTCCATTTTCGCCGGATTCAATACACGCAGGAAAGAGCAACCGGAGCGAACAAGGTAATTCATACATTCTGACTATCTGCGTAGTATTTCGCGGTGCATACCTGCACACTTCCTCGACTCATCTAGTTGTGTGTTTCGCATTCGTCTTTGCATTATTACTATTGCATGAGCGGCGGGCGCTACTACTACGCTCGGTGCACGTAGTATGTAAACACGGTTCGCCCCGCCCCGTAATACCCGTGGTATTGAAATGAAAATTCGCGAATCGGCGAATCGCGAATTGAATTTCGAATGCGTTGCAATAAAAAAAAAATCGCCGCGTAATGCAAACGCGACACACGGTAGTCGGTGGCCATCCGTGCCGCCATGACTTTAATTACCTGTGATTTTTTTTGCTCTCATCTGCAAGTCACATATAAAACTACATTTACTCGTACTTAGATATTTTATGTTTAAACTGTTTAATTTTAGAAATGCATCCACAAAATGAGAGAAAACGCCAGAACCACTTGACTTGACTTCCCAATAACTCACAGCAAGGTAAATATCTTTCCTACACTGCTTAAAACACACTTAATGCTAAAAATAACCAAGTAAATAATTAAAACTGATTCATATTGTATTAAATTCCTTAAAATATTTACTATTTTATGTTAAATTTAACAAAAAAGTGGAGTTTTCTATAATAACGCGTAAATTACAACCATCTCTTGTCATTTGGGTGTGTAAAATTGCAAATTTACACATTTGGAAACAAAAAATGCAGTTTTAAAGTTAATAATAACAAATTCAAGCAGTAAACATTTAACTAACAATAAAATTAATTTATTATAACTTTTTGTTGAGTTTACAGCCAATAATTACATTAATTCACCTTAAGTTTGCACTTTATTCGTCAATAACTTTGGTATAAAACTCACAAACCTTTTAATTCTTGCTTAATTTGATGAGGAATTTAATACAGAATCGATTTCTGAAAGAATTATCTCTCTAACATGTTGCGTTAATAAGTTATTAATAATTTAACAAACAATTGCGTGATTTGTGATGTTCAGCTAATAAAAATGCTCTCAGTACGCATTTCGCTTAACATGGCTTAGCCCTTAACCCTAACCTGGTGTATTTGCATGTGGGGAACACAGGGCACACGAAACTTTGATCAAAACCGGCAAGGTGGTGCTCGCTATCACGATGTCTACTAATCAGCTTATGGATTCTTGTCTGTAAGTAACTCCTCGACCATCATTCCAAACATCCTACTTTTGAACTTGTTGTGTGCACATTATCTGAAACCTGAGATGACTAAAATAAATAAAAATACTGGGAGATAAGATGTCTTATCTGTCTAATTCGGTTTCAGAAAGTGTAGTTACACGTTTGCATGCTTAGCAATTGTTGGTTTTTCGAGAGGTGTGTGTGTTGTTTTTGCATTTGTCGCATATTTTTGGTGAAAAGTTAGCTAAAGGCGAAGGTTTTTTTGATGACAGGCTTGTGAATCGACGTGTTGAGCAACGGCAGGAGCACAGCGTAACCCACACGCAGATAACGCAAAGGTATGACGATGTTTTGATTGTTTTTTTCGCATCACTCATCTGCGCAAAGCGTCACCATGTCACGTAATGTTTTATTATCGGGTGCGCCAGCGATCATTCACACATACCATTCATTTTGTGTTATTATTTTAGGCGAGTTTTGCCAGACAAAGCCTCCGATATGCCGCACTACAAGTGAGTATTAGACTTTTTTCCGTTTGTCTTAGCTATTAACAGCTAAATAAACAAGTTTTAACTTGGGTTTTGTGATTAGAGGAAGAAGTCGATGATTGTTGGTGACGTGATGTGCTTGTTTGTGATTACAGGGGACAAGATACCGGCGGCGTATCTGTCAACGACAGCGTCTACCACGCGCACAGCAATGGTCATTCCGAGCACTCGCCCAACTCCAGCCACATGTCCGTGCACAGCGACGAGCCGCTAGTGCGGAGTCACAAACAACAGACGACGCAGCAGGTGACGACCGTGACGAAGGTCGTCCGGGAAGTGCAGCAGCTCGGCGCGGACGGCGCGCAAGCCGAATACGTGCCGGTGCCGATCGGCGCTTATCCACATCCGCACGCCACATTACCGACGCATCCGCACTCCCAGTACGTCGACTACATGGAGCAGCCGGCACACCACATGTACTCACAGTACCACCAACATCCACACTATCAGGACTATGAACATTACCCGCCCCCGAACGCCTATGGCACCTATATGGGTTATCCCGCGGGGGCGGAGCGTCCTGGCACACCGCCAAGTCCTAGCGAACATAGTGGTGCACCTTCTCCGCTCCCTTTGAACGCCCAGACGGCTGGCGCGTACCTTGCAGCTGGGTATGATGTAGACGAACACTATCGTATTACGCCCTCACCGGGCGGACCTATTCTTGATCCCTATCAGGATGATCCTGCTGTTGTCTATGGTTATGTCTCACCCTCACCTTATGGTACAGCCGTACCACACCCGGGTCCTACATATGTCTCGCGGCCGTATGATGAAAGCCTCAATGTGCCCGTCAGCGCCGCGTTGCCTATGTTCGAAGACGAAGAACTTCAGAAACACATGAGTAAGATGAACCTACACGGGCATGGTATTGGTATGCCGCCCCCGACACACGGGCGTGCGCATGCAATGGCGTCGCCTGGTAGTGTCGGCGGCGGGGATGATGACCAGCGTGGAATGCGCTGGCGTGATCCCAATCTGACCGAGGTGATCGGTTTTCTCAACAACCCCAACAACGTCATCAAGGCGAACGCGGCGGCCTACCTGCAGCATCTCTGCTACATGGATGATCCAAATAAGCAGAAGACACGCGCGCTCGGCGGCATCCCGCCGCTAGTCAAGCTGCTCAATCACGAGAGCATCGAGGTGTATCGCAATGCATGCGGCGCGCTGCGCAATCTGTCATACGGTCGGCAAAACGACGAAAACAAACGCGCCATCAAGAATGCCGGCGGAATTCCCGCGCTGATAAATCTACTGCGACGTTCGAGCGAGGCGGAAATCAAGGAGCTCGTCACCGGCGTTATCTGGAACATGTCCTCCTGCGAGGACCTCAAGCGCGCCATCATTGACGACGGCGTGGTGGTTATTGTTACGTATATTATTATCCCGCACTCGGGCTGGGACCCGGCGGGCAATACCGGCGAGACGTGCTGGTCGACGGTGTTCCGGAACGCCTCCGGCGTGCTGCGCAATGTCAGCTCGGCGGGCGAGTACGCGCGGAAGAAGTTGCGCGATTGTGATGGGCTTGTGGATGCGTTGTTGTTTGTTGTGCGCTGTGCCATAGACAAGTCGAATATAGGCAATAAGATTGTAGAGAATTGCGTTTGTATCTTAAGAAATTTATCTTATCGGTGTCAGGAGGTCGAGGATCCAAACTACGACAAGAATCCTTTACCCACACAGAGTCGTGTCACTGCAAACAACTCTAAAGGTAAAATTTTAATTCCACACCATAATTATTTAACAATATCTTTAATTTTTAATGCTTCCAGGTGAAAATTTAGGTTGTTTTGGGGGAAGTAAAAAGAAAAAGGACGCAGCTTCTTCAGACGTGAAGGAAAACAACGTTGGGGCAGCTGGGATTGGTTCAAACAGCGCAGCATCACGAGGGGAAGTCGTACGAGGCACAGAATTACTCTGGCAACCAGAAGTTGTGCAGTCGTATCTCGCCCTGCTGCAGAGCTGCTCAAATCCGGAGACCCTGGAGGCGGCAGCAGGCGCATTACAAAATCTAGCAGCTTGTTACTGGCAGCCAAGTATTGAAATTCGCGCAGCTGTACGAAAAGAAAAAGGTTTACCCATTTTGGTCGAACTACTGCGTATGGAAGTCGACCGGGTGGTTTGTGCGGTTGCGACAGCTCTACGCAATCTCGCCATTGACCACCGCAATAAGGAACTCATCGGTAAATACGCGATGCGAGATCTGGTCCAGAAGTTACCCTCCGGTAACGCGCAACACGACCAGGCCACATCTGATGATACGATTGCGGCCGTCCTCGCGACACTTAATGAGGTGATCAAGAAGAACGCCGAGTTTAGTAGATCACTCCTAGAGGCAGGCGGCGTTGAGCGCCTGATGAATATCACCAAACAGAAGCAGAAGTACACGCCGCGCGTGCTCAAGTTCGCCGGGCAGGTGTTGTTCACAATGTGGCAGCATCAGGACCTGCGCGACGTTTACAAGAAGCACGGCTGGAAGGAGCAGGAGTTTGTCACGAAGACAGTGGCGGCGCGCAACGCCGGGCCCAATTCCCCGAACAACGCCAACAGCACGCTCAACCGACCGATGGCGTCGCAGAGCGGCACGCGTTACGAGGATCGCACGATGAAGCGCAATGCCGGCGGTGCGGGCGCGCAAAATGCAAGCGCCGCCCGCCCCTCGGCCGCACCCGGGAATGCAAACGCCGTCGGCGGCGGCGGCGCACCGGTCTACCAGCGGGTAAGCGCACCACACGCTGCAGCCTGACTTGTTTTTTTTTTTTCTCTCTGTGCACACTATGTATGTAGATCAGACGCTAGCTGAAGCCTTCTTTGCAGAACGAGGACATCCCCATGGCTGACATGGCATACCCAGACCTACAACCCCCTATGGGGGGCGTTAGGGCTTACCCTCCCGGCCCGGGCCCAAACCCTCCTCCAGTAAGTCACTAATCACGCCCGTTGTGCACGAGCCCCGTATCCGAAAGTCGAAACGAGTCAATTCTCTTTAAAAAGAAGCGTATTTTAATCACTTAAAGTAAACAAAAGACGACGACGAAGACGTGGGGGAAAAAAACGAAACACAACAATTCAGGCTAAGAGTAATATTAATTAATACTAAGCTAGTGTTTGCTCTGGGGGATGTTTCAATATTTTCAACACTAACTCATCGCGCAGGCGAAACTGACAAACAAGTATTATTACCTACTATTGTACTAATAACGGGCGTACTACCAAAAGACACAAGACACGAAAAGAAATAAAATTACTCATCTCGATGTTCATGTACAGCATACACATACGACTTAAACTACCTAACATTTAGCGACAACGTAACATTAACAAGAAAACAAGTAGCCTAAATATACGAATATATTCCAAATATGTACATGTAATCTGTAAACGAAATTGTTATATCATTCAGATTTGTTTTGGAGCTCGAGTTTGGCAGAGCGATTGAGTTGAATTGTTAGCTAGATAGATTTATTCGATCCCTTCGTTGAATTCTTAATCGAAGTGAGTGCGAGGGGAGGGTAGGGGCAGTGAGCGAAGGCCCTGACAGCAGCAGAACGCACGTGCACGCCGGCTTCCTAGGCCCCAGGTAAGCACAGACACGCCGCAGCAAAATCACTTCCAAAAAAAAAAATCAATGCAAAAAAGCAAATTAATCATATTACGCAAGCATAATATACGACGAGAGCTGCTCGGGGCCTTTGGTTTACTGCACTGCACTGCGACACATTGCTGCCCAGCAAACGAGAGGCCCCTGCCCAGCGCTCATCGCCACCAAAAATCTCACCACTCACAAACACACACACCACACTTGTACCACCACACTCACCTGTACACATGCATGCACTTACTTAGACAATATTAACGCTGTTTTTAAACTGTGGGCGATATGCGGGTGCTTTGGCTGTATTTTAGCGCTGTTTTTGTTTTGTTTACAGCCGGAGCCGCTCTATGCGCAGGTGAATATGGACAAGAAACGCAACCGGCAGCCGAGTCTCGGCAACGCCAATCATCTGGATGAACATCAGGCGCTTACAGCGGCGAACGCCGCCGCCGGCAAGGACTCCTGGGTCTAGACGCCATCTTGCCACACACAGATTCACACTCTTACACACACACAACACACCAAAAAGAAACCGGATACAAGCAGAAAGACGAGAAAATTTTCCACTTTTGAATAGGGTATAGTGATGACCATGATTTACTAACTAAACTAGGGATAATGTTAGTGAGCGAGACATTGATTGATTCCTTTCCGAGTTCGAAATTCGCATCTAATCTATTGTATGTATTCATTCATATCCTCCTCTCATCAAATCCTTGCACCGAACTTTCGTTACGACTTTGGCTAATTCTCGAATTTGGCAACAAGTTTGTTTGGATATTTCCACTCACAAACCTTAACGAAATACATAGTACAGTACGATACACACGAGTACATAATGAGAGATATGTATATCACTTATAAATGATGATATAAATTATAGAGCATTGTTACGATATGATTTCGATATGCATATTGAAGTGAGTTGTTTTAAGTTTCGAAGATAACAAACGAACAAGAATTGACAAGAAACAAACAAAACCAACTAAAAGCCTGCCTGATGCTGCGCCTGTTAATATTATATATCAATGTTCTGTCGCATGTTCGGATATATAATGCACTGATTCATAAGAAATTATTATGTAAACGAGCAAAACAAGCAGAAAATTATTTGTAAAACAATTGCGTATGATTGACGGCGTTAATTTTATACATATACACACCGAAAATGATTTCTATTTAATGATTCTATTCTTAAATGTTTAGTTCGTGGTGTTTACTGTGATGAGCTTCAAATGAAATTGCTGTACATAACGATGATATAGATTCTTTTTGTATCTTATATATGATTTTTACATGATGATGATTTAAATAAGTTTTATTATTTTATTATTCGCCCGCTCCCGATGCAAGCTCGTCATGAGTCGTCTTCTTTTTTTTTTTTTGTTTTATTTCTTTGTCTTGTGTATCTATCGTATATTTGTAACTATTTTTTTATTTTATTGTTTTTTTACATACAGTTTATTTGAAATAAATTTATTATATACTTAACTTATAATCGATATACACATTTATAAATATATTAAAAAGTACAACGTGGTTTTTATTGTTAATTCTAGTATATTGATTGAGGAAACATTGATTTTCTGTACTTTTACGAACAATTTTGCGTGCATTTTGATTGTTTTTGTATTAAATTAACTTGTATTTACTTTTATGTCTGCAAAAAGTGATGTGGGTTGCATAAACGCGCCTCTTGACGTATACGGTTAGGTAGGCAACCTGCGTTGCGTATGTGTTCCCATGATTGTCAACTGATCAGGCGCAGATATAAAACAACCATTAGAACATTCATACATCTAATTTCCTCTATTTTCCGTTCAAATGGAAAACTACTTTCATGCATTCAGCACCGAATCTCTAATTTCATTACAATCTACGATTTTCAAGTACTATTGTTGACGTAAGTGAATTTCAATGTCCTTTTTCATATTTACCTTCATAAGTTATTACTTATTACTTATATTAGTTGAAGCTTGTAATTACCACGAAACCAATTACATATATTATATTCGTATACTCGAAATAATTAAATCATTCCATGCTGGCACAACCAACAAGTGGAACAACCGAATAACATTCTGGAAGTGAATGAAAACGTTGAATATTTCAACAAGATGGTGACATTGGTGTCATTCAAGTCGGATATCGATAATAAAACGCGTCGAAATCGATGAATATTTCATCTTGTTCTAGGCGATGAACCTATCAAGATTTCCGTGGAAAATCGTGTTTCCTAATATGATTCATAACTTGTGCACGACACACACGAATCCAAACCAAACAATTTCATTATCAGTGCGGTGTTAAATGGGAAGCATGAAAATAATTAAAGAATACTCTGGAAAGTTTAACAAATAATCGTTTTATTTGTGTATAGATATGATTATCATGTGATTTAATTGTGATAATTCAGGTTACAAGAAATTTAATTTATCATTTACGTAAAATGACATTTATGACCTTCAAGGTTACGGTTTTTGTGCTAGTGACAGTTGTCAACTCAATGAAAACTAACCTTACACCGTTTTGAATTAACGTGATTAATTTATAAGTGTTGTTAGCAGAATTACGACATTAACATTGGGGTAATACAGCGCAGTCGAAGCGAACAATGCAATTCAATAAGCGTTATTGCGTTTGTTTTTACTTTCTCGTCCGTTGCACGAGCGTGTAATAATGGCGGAGCATTGCAGCATATTGCACTTGGGAGTAGTCGAGTGTAAATATCGGCTGGAATAATCGTAATATGCGTAAACAAATATTTGTGTCCCAATGAGACACACAATAAACGTCGTGCTCGTGTGCAATCTATGACTGCGTTTACTATCTGTAAACAAAGGGCAAATAATTTACCGTCTGAAAGTTTTATGAAAACACCATTTTCACAAAGGAAAAAGAAATTTCCAGAAAAATAATTCTTTCTTTTGTTGAGACGTGTGAATAAATCGCCATTTTATGACGTATTGTAAAGGAAAATGCATTGCGCAGACGCACTAGTTCCTTCACAAGTAGAAAGTTTATTACTTGTTTTTCATTCGGAGTTATAATTAAATAATGCATAAAAGCGGTTAAAATGAATGGCGGCGTATGGAAGTAATGAGAATTATTATTCCTTATTCATTTTCCGCTCTGTTAGGCCCGGTAATTGCGAAACATTCATTCGCTTCATTCGGTATTAATGACAAAAGTGGCGCCACCGGCCACGACCAGCCCCGATATTGATGTATCGCGCACGCCACCACATTCATGCGCAACGCGTACCTCCAATCAACAACCCTCTACAGCGGGAAAAGTTTCAAGGCGCTTTCGAGAAGTAGCCGGCAAGTTCTACCGCAGTTTCGGGTGGGGTGTGTAAAATCAACGCCCGCAGCGCCGCTACGCACACATCACCACTTCCACCCTCCACGACGGTAGTAGAAGTAAATCGGTTTCTATGTGCGCGCGCGGTGCTCGCAGCGTCAGTTCACGCGTCGCTGTGCGTCGCCGCTAGCCGCAGCGGTCGTGCCGTGCCTTTCACCGCCGCCTCCCAAAGAAAAACGCGGCGCCGAAGGCCTTAATCCACCCAGTGCATCGCATTCAAAAAAACCCCACAACCAACGCATCCTCAGATAACCAGTATAAACAAGCGGCGAGAACAAAAGCGTAACGAAAACAAAAGTTGAGTCACAATGCAGGTTTGGACCACTAGTACCCAGACAATAAACTAACCTCGAATACTTCAAACCTTGACCATTCGCTTGGTGCGCTCCTTGATGAGTTCATGAGTGGCGGCGATGGTGATCGCAACCGACCGCCGCTCGCATTCTTTCTACCATCGCACGCGGATTGAATGGCGCAGGCGACGCGCGTTGTATTCGCATTGATCAATTCCCGATGGCGCCGACAATTTACACGCAGTACGGCGTCGCGATGGTCGCGATCTTCTTCTTCATCTTTTGGTGTTCGCTCTGGCTGCTGCACCTGCTAGCAATCATCTATGGGTAAGCCAACAAATCACCATCAATCACATATTCATGTATTAATAATCTCCTGATAATATGCAAGCTGTTTCCTGTCTCATGAATAGCATGCAACCTTGAACTAGTGTTTTAAGTTTGGTTTTAATGTGTTTCAGCAAATTTCGGTTGCACCAGAAACCCAAGCCACAGTTGGGTGATGCTGTACCTTTGCCTGGTGTGACAATACTCAAGCCATTGCTTGGCATTGATTCCAATCTGTCTTCTAATTTGGAGACTTTTTTTAAGATGGATTATCCAAAGGTAATAAAAAATTGATTAACTTTTTATTTATTTTTTGTTAAATAACTTGATTTATAGTGAAAACAATCACTTAAATTAAGTTTTTGTTGTTTTTTATTAAAAAGTTGATAAAAACATCAAAATGGCGGCGTTTTTAACACTTTACTTGAATGAATCATACCAATACTATAACGATTTATTTGTTTCAGTATGAGATAATGTTCTGTATAGAAGATGACACAGACCCAGCAATAATGGTTGTAAAAAGCCTGATGGACAAGTATCCGTCAGTCGACGCAAACTTGTTTATTGGGGGATCTTGTGTGGGTGTTAATCCAAAGATTAATAATTTACATAAAGCCTATGAGGCAGCTAGTTATGAGTTTATATTAATTTCTGACAGTGGAATACGTAGTAAGATTCTAAACGTTTATTTATCTATTATACTATCTCTTAACAAAAATTCATCGTCACATCACACGACTCACGAGAATCACGCCACCAAACACACACACACACACACACATCTAGTGCATGCCGTTCATTCGGAATATTTACCGCAGACTGCTAACTAACATAAACATTCGCCATATGCTTCAGTGATTAATAGATAATTTGCTGTTGGCTGACTTGAGCTGTGCGCCAGATTGGGTTCCCTAGTAGAAAAATGCGTTGTTATTGTAAATAAACACGAATCATGTACAAAATAACATTACAAGCCGCATGTGAGTAGAACAACACTAATTCTAAAAATGTAAATTGTCAAATTTTTTGGTGGAATTTGTGGCGTTTGCGTGTTTGTCGTGTTTATGTGATGCTTGAATGCTTTTCGTATCACGTTTTATTGTTAATTAAGCGCTGCGCGAACTGGAATCGTATTAATTGCGTGTAATTTGTAGTGAAAGAGGACACGCTGCAGGACATGATGAGTTTCATGTCGGAGGGAACCGCGCTCGTCCATCAGATGCCTTTCACGCAGGATCGCGAAGGCTTCGCAGCGACCTTGGAGAAGGTAACTTATAAAAAATCACCCCTAAACTATAAAAAAAAACTAATTAAACACGTTATAGATCTATTTCGGCACTGCCCAATCACGAATTTATCTTGTCGCTGATTTACTACGCGTGAATTGTCACACTGGAATGTCTGGTTTGATGCGTAAAGCCGCACTGGATGAGGAAGGCGGGCTGAAAACATTCGGATGTTATCTGGCGGAGGATTTTTTCATTGCGAAGAGTTTCAAAGATCGCAAATGGCGGATACGCATCTGCAGCCAGCCGGCGCTGCAGAATTCGGGCATATGCGAGGTGAACATGTTCCAAGCGCGGCTCACAAGGTAAGACTTGCTCTATTTATAAATTCACATTTGCATTCCGTAAATATTTGGGAGTTGACCTAGTCGCACAATCGATAAAATAATGAAGACGTGTGGAGTAATGTAGACTAAGGTTGATGAATATGAATAATTGAATGAGTTTTTTTTTTCTTGTTGTGTATTTATAGGTGGGCTAAATTGCGCATGGCGATGTTACCTACGATTATTTTCTTTGAGCCACTCTCGGAGTGTATGCTCATCGGCGCGCTGGCGGCGTGGGCGGTGAGTGTGCTTTTCAAGTGGGACTCACTCTGCTTCTACTTGATTCACATTCTACTTTGGTTTATGTGTGATTGGCTGTTATTATCCATTGTTCAAGTAAGTGTTTCGCCGTCAAAATTGACATTTACACAAATAATTTCTATGTTTTTCTCTTGCAGAATGGAACATTGCCATTTAATAAATTCGATTTTGTTGTTGGCTGGCTGTTCCGCGAGTGCTCGGGGCCGTGCCTCTTCCTGCACGCGCTCTTTAATCCGGCGATTCGCTGGCGGTCGCGTGAATTCCGACTCGCGTGGGGCGGCATCGCCGAAGAGATAAAACCCGCGCGCGTCGACAGCTACCGCATCCACAAGCCATACCTGATTAATTAGGCGCGCTTCACCAATGCTCAGTCTTACGGATACAAATTTTATAAATTTGCATAATGGATCTCAGTTTTTAGAGACTTAGGAGATACAATAAACGATGCCCAGGAACAATTTCTAGCCATGCAGCAGCAAGCATCAAAGCTTCGATTGTGTGCGTAGGAAATAGTTTTCAGACATATCAGAGGAGACGCGTGCGGATTGATTTTGTCCCGGAAAGCGACAAAAAACAGGTCAATAACGGACACAGCGTAATGTACATACTCTCACAGGATAGTATTTAAAGATTCATCTAGCCATTCAATACGATCGCCGACGAAATTCATTCAGTGGCTTTAAATAGACGCAGAATCATACAAATGAGCGCTTTTCACTTACTTAACTTGTTTTTTTGCTGCATTACATTAAGTTCCGCATCACAATGTAAACTTGTTGATGATTATTCGATGCGGAATTTAATCTCGAATAGAACGCAGTAATATTTATTATTTTAGCATGTTGCGTTTGTGAGTTATCAGTGAATAACTACCGAAACAACATGGCGCTGATATTTTATTTCTATTTCTATTTATTTTGCCAAAACTTGAACCAAACTTTGAGTTTTTTTTGCGTCGATGGTTGTGCTTAATTAAGATTAGCATGTAAATTATGCAAAAAACATACATCTGGGTCCAAAAAACACACGATAAATTAATTGGGAGACGGACGAACTAATGAATTACAGGAATTAACTGAATTTAAAAACACTAGTCGAATAATGAATGTCTTCATAAAGAATTTAATGGTCGAAGTTTTGGCGTCACAATGATTGTGATATCAACATACTCCTATAATATACGCATGATAAGTTAAAACAAAGGGAAAAACTAATACTAATTGGCTGTATTGTTCAGAAAACATAACTTTTGCATGCGCTTTGCGCGACTTGTACTTTTATAAATACGGATTACCGCCATTGCCGACTGGCGGGAGTCAATAACCATCATATGAAAATGAAATGGCTTAGAACACTAGGTGCGACTGTAGGGGAGTTGTTCCGCAATCGGATTAATTAATCATTAATCTGAGTGCGCGCGCTTGGTACGTTTCGCGTTGCAGTGGTTCTTATAATGGCGTTAGAATGTGACATTCGGCTCACGCTTTTGTACCACCCCAAAAATCATACTCTGTCAGAAAAAGAGTACATACATTGTAAATTTGAACTAACTTGTACATTCGTAGCTAGCTTTATTATTATTACGGTAATTAAGCGACAATGCCCAACAAATACATACAAAAAGTAAAAGAACCTTGTATAAAGCGTATTAATGTGTAAGTCTATTAATAAAAGAAAGACTGATTGTCTGCATTCACGCTTTTTGAATATTAGGTGCAGATTGTGTAAGAGTAGCATTAGAAACTATAGACAAATTACAGATTTCTATTATTTTAGCGATTTTCAGTAATTCGCCGATAGGTGTCGCTACTTACACTACATTTATAAAATTTGTAAATTTCTTATCGGGTGACGATGGAGTAAAAAATGGTTGTTTTAAATTGAATCATTGGTTCAATATACAATTCAGCGTTTAATTTAATTTATGTAATCTCAAAAACGCACGGAATTATTTTCTCTGTTGAAAATAAATTCGCTGGGTTCTAGTTACTATGGTTACGGGTTTATCAAGCGTTTTCCCCTTTGGTCTTGCAGTCTTTGTTCGCTGTGCGTATTACTTTAATGCGGAAATTATTCGATAAATAATTAATTATACAAAGTGCAATGAATTAATAATGGAAAGCCAAAAAATAAGTAGCAATTATGTGTAAAAGATAAAAAACAAAACTGTTGAACCTTAAGATTAAGTGTAAAGTATACACAATGTAATTTGTTGAAAAAGTATCAGTAACAAACGAAACAAGATTTTACAATCGGCCAATTCGTTCGCACACATGCGCAGTGCAAAACGCACTTTGATAAGGTCGTGAGAAATCGTTTGGTCGATTGCGCGTCACGTACAAACTCTGCCCAGGCTGCAAACCTAACCTGAAACCAATAGTCAAACGCAGTGTACATCTCGCCGCTGATGCTTTCCGGACGGTGTTTTCAATGCAGTTCGCGTTCGGTCGTCTAATGTGCCGCATTGTGATGGAATAAACCCGGCGCGCCCGGCGCACAAGACAACTACTTCGACATAATCACTGCTGTGTTTTGATCATCTCGCGACTTCGCCTGGTTCAGTTTTTCCGCACACGACGCTCGGCGGCGACGAGCACAACCAGCGCAACCAGCTTTTGCTTGTTGTGTGCGCCCGCAATCAATGATCGAGTGTCGAGTGGGGAGTCAGTCCAAGTCCGAGCTGCTGGTGCCGCTGGTGCTGCTCGACGGACATTAAACGGGTTGACATCACATCCCATCGACGAAGAAGTAAAACACGCGTCAGAAAGTTACACTCAAGCAGCAAAAAAAAAATCAGTGCGCCAATTGCACGATTATCGAACTTTTTCCGGAGCGAGATTCTCGCGTCGTGCTAATTGAATAATATTAATTCGATGTTATTGGCGTGGTACTCGACGTACTCTACATGTTCGCGAGTGTGCAGTGCGGATTCAACAATCTATCGAAACCCATTTCGGATGGTGGGACGGGTTGTACGCTTTCCGCGCTGACACAGGAGTGATTTTCGCGTCGTGTGAAAACTTTCGTGCGAGTCAAAAGTGCGGTGCGCTAGGGCCGAAGTGAAACAGTAGACGCTCGAAACACCAATACGAAACTTTGATGTTTGAGGTGAGTCGAGTGTGAAGTGCGTCGAATGCGAGGCTTTGCTGCTTCGAGCACGTTTGGGATCGCAACATTTGATGACATTTTAATGTAAGTATTACAATTCGATTTATTTGAGTGCAATTCCATTGCACCACAGCAATTCTCACATACATAGTAACAATTGGCTAGTGATTTTTTTCCGCCACCATTATACATCGACTCCAATCCGTGCGCTGGTCACAAAGAAAACGAATATGTTTTTTGCGTTGTTGAATTTTCGTTGCAAGTTTCCATTCCCGTGCAGCCATTTTGTTAATTATGGCACTCAAATCACTTTTATACATTTTCTCGTGTGTTTAGTGCGTGTGTGAATGTGAGTGTGGTGCCGTATGCTGCAACTGCAAGTGGCGTTGACGCTTTGTTTCTTTGTCGCAGCATGGTTTGATCCAGTCAATTATGTAATTGCGAGCATGATGAGCAAAGACGACAAGAACACCACGGACGCGTGCAATGGGGCGGCGCAGTGTCTTGCCCAAGGGCAACCGCAACCACAGGCCCAAGGGGGCAACAAGGAGCAGCCACCGACGACGAATGGGTCACGCGTCGGCAGCGGCGGCTTCGAATTCATCATTCCACCGGAAGCGCCCGTGTTTAGTCCTACCGAAGCGGAATTTCAGGAGCCGCTCGTTTACATCGATAAAATTCGCCCGATCGCCGAGAAGTTTGGCATCTGTAAAATTAAACCGCCGGCTGTAAGTAAAATTTAAATTTACATCGTAGGTTTTTATTGTGTTAATTGTCATTTTAAGAATTGGCAACCACCGTTTACGGTAGACGTGGACAAATTGAAGTTTACGCCCCGAATACAGCGCTTAAATGAGCTGGAAGCAAAAACGCGCATCAAGTTAAACTTCCTCGACCAGATCGCGAAGTTCTGGGAGCTGCAGGGTTCATCGCTGAAAATCCCAATGGTGGAAAAACGTGCGCTGGATTTGTATACGCTTCATCGACTTGTCGAGAACGAGGGTGGTTTCGTCCACGCGACTAACGGACGCAAGTGGGCGAAGATCGCCGTGCACATGGGATATCCATACGGGAAGGGCACCGGAACCATTTTGAAAACTCATTATGAGCGACTTTTATACCCATATGAATTGTTCATAAATGAGAAAAAGGTAAAACTTATTTCTTCGCGTTTAAAAATTATGATTTTAATTGTAATGATTATTTTAGAACCCTGGGGAAATATTCGAAATCATTAAAGAGCCGAAAGACGACGATTACAGACCACCTGTCAAAGTTGACGTACCCACCGGAAGTCCAAAGAAAAATGGCGTTATGCGCCGATCATTAAAAAGCGCCGAAAAACCGAAGGATGGGAAAAAAGCTAAAAGTAATGGTGATGTTGAGATTAAACAAGATTCCTCTGATGATAAGGAGATGGACGAAAAGGATTCCAAGCGTGATAACAAAGAAAACAAGGAAAAAGATAAAGATGTAAAGGAAGATATCAAAGAGCTCAACGGCACCAAACTACGATCGCCTATCAAAGATGAATCCGGTGAGGTGGGCAGTAAGGAACTGAAACGTCTGCAGTTCTTCGGCGCTGGGCCTAAGATGGCCGGTTTCAACGTTCGTAAGAAGGCGGATGACAAGACGCGTGGCAAGGTTATTGACTATCAATTTGACTGTGATCCTGTAAGACACCGTTTAGCCTTTGGATAATCTTATTATCTAATGTTTTCTTTTTGTTTTTATCCAGCTTGCTAAGTACATCTGTCAGAATTGCAAGCGCGGTGACGCCGAAGAGCAGATGCTGCTCTGCGATGGTTGTGATGATAGCTATCACACGTTCTGTCTGATGCCGCCACTTGCGGAGATTCCCAAAGGTGATTGGTGTTGTCCGCGGTGCATTGCCGCAGAGGTGAGCAAGCCGACAGAGGCGTTTGGGTTCGAGCAAGCGCACAGAGAGTACAATCTGCAGCAGTTTGGCGAAATGGCGGATACATTCAAGTCTGAGTATTTTAATATGCCTGTTCATGTAAGCAAACGTTCTTTATGTAGAAAAATTTCTTTTATTGTGTTATTATTTATTTGTATTTAGCTTGTTTCTACTTCAATGGTGGAGAAAGAGTTCTGGCGAATTGTTTCTTCCATTGATGAGGATGTCACAGTCGAGTATGGCGCTGATTTACACACAATGGATCACGGTTCTGGATTCCCGACGAAGAATTCCATCAATTTGCAGCCGGGGGATCAGGAATACGCATGCTCCGGTTGGAATTTGAACAATTTACCTGTCCTGGAAGGTTCTGTGCTTGGATACATAAATGCGGACATTTCTGGAATGAAAGTAAGCGTTCAAAACGAACAAAAGTTTGTTTTATTTTGATATAATTTGCTTTTTAGGTTCCATGGATGTATGTTGGAATGTGTTTTGCAACATTCTGTTGGCACAACGAGGATCACTGGAGCTATTCCATCAATTACCTGCACTGGGGCGAACCAAAAACTTGGTACGGCGTATCCGGAATGCAGGCGGAACTTTTCGAAAAGACAATGAAGAGTGCCGCACCGGAACTCTTCCACACTCAGCCGGATTTACTGCATCAGCTTGTGACGATTATGAATCCGAACATTTTGATGAATGCCGGAGTGAAAGTCTTCCGCACTGACCAACATGCTGGCGAGTTTGTCATCACGTTTCCACGCGCATATCACGCTGGTTTCAATCAAGGGTAAATGCAATACTTATTTAAATGTCCCGTAGTTTATTTATGTTTTACTGATTATTCACAGGTATAACTTTGCCGAAGCTGTCAACTTTGCGCCGGCCGACTGGATTGCTATGGGTCGAGAATGCGTCATGCATTATTCGCAATTACGCCGATTTTGCGTTTTCTCGCATGACGAACTTGTGTGCAAAATGGCGACCAACTCTGATAAGTTGGATATTACTGTGGCAGCCGCAACGTATACTGATATGCTGCGAATGGTCGAAACTGAGAAGAAACTACGGAAAAGTTTATTGGATTGGGTAGGTTTGCGTATAAATTTTGTGATTAATTATTTAATAATATTATTATTAAAACTTAGGGCGTAACAAATGCCGAGCGCGAAGCGTTTGAACTTCTCCCAGACGACGAACGGCAGTGCGAAATCTGCAAGACAACGTGTTTTATGTCCGCGCTCACCTGCGGATGCACCAAGGACATCGTCTGCTTGCGTCATTATTCTTCCCTTTGCAAATGCGCGCCTAATAAACACACCCTGCGCTACAGGTACACGCTCGACGAATTACTTCCATTGCTGCGAAGTCTCAAACAAAAAGCGGAGTCGTTCGATCGATGGGCCGACGGCGTCAAGAAGGTGCTCGATCGGAAGCATCCGAAAAGCGTAACGCTCAATGAATTACGCGCGCTGGCTGCTGAAGCCGAAGGTAAAAGTTTTCCTAAATCTGATTTGATGCAAACGCTCGCGAATGCCATAGAAGACGCCGAAAAATGCGCCAGCGTCATACGCCAACTCGATCTTAAAAAGGTACGCACGCGAAATTCGTATGATCAGAAAAATAAACTCACTCTCGAAGAGTTGCGCCTGTTTTACGAGGAGATTGATAGTTTAGCGTGTATTTTAGACGAGGAAAAGATCATCAAGGATCTTTTAGATCGTACGAATAACTTTGAAAAGGAAGCTGAGAGATTGTTACAAGTGGCGCTCTCAGATTGTAAGTTGAAGGAGGTGGAGGAGACGATTAACTCGAGTAATGATTTGTGTATTGAACTCCCCACGTTGAAGGCGCTTTCCGATCGTCATAGTCAATTAAAATGGGTGAAGGAAGTGTTTGACGCGCGTAAAAAGTCCGGCGACATAGCGGACATTGAGACTTTGCAAACATTGTTGCGCAAAGGAATTGTGTTACCAAATGATTCTCTCATTGAGAGTATGTTGAGTGATATACAGGGTGTTATAACTCAGGCACAGGACTGGGAAGCTAAAGCACAAGCACTATTTAAGAAAACCGGTCCAGATGTGTTATCAGAAGCGGAAAACTTGATAAAAGCGGCGGGTAAAATTGATGTGTACCTTCCAACTGAAAATCATTTGGTTGACAGTGTAAATAATGTCAAAGATTGGTACAAACTTCTCAAAGAAATGAACTCGTTGGAGTTTTATCCGTATCTGTCTTCAATAGAAGATTTGATCAAAAAGAGCAAAAGTTTTCCGTTTCAATTGGAGGAAGTGGATCGCCTTAAAGGCTATGTGAAGGGCGCGACGGAATGGAAGGAAAAAACGTCGAAAACTTTTTTGCGGAAGACTGCTACAACAACTTTAATGGACGCATTGTCTCCACGATCTCAGATTGCTCCCGCTAAAGGCCGGAAGAGAAACACAGAGGATGTTTTCAAGATAACGGAAAATATGGATCAAGCATCACTGGTTGCGGCGTTTAAGGACGCGGAAGACCGTGAAATGAAATTTATCGAGACGACGAGGCTCGCTAATCAGGCAAAAGTATTGACAAAAGAGTCCGAATCGACATTCTGCGTGTGTTTAAAGCCTGCATCTGGATTGATGATGAAATGCGAACTGTGTAATGATTGGTTTCATTCCGGATGCGTGCCGCTGCCGAAAGTAAGCGGACGACGACTGCGCAAGAACCTAAAAGCATCCGGCATCCATATTGGTTTCAAAGATTGTAAGTTCCTTTGCACGAATTGTAATCGTACGCGACGTCCGCGCCTGGAAACAATTCTGTGCCTTCTCATGGCGCTGCAGAAACTGCTAACAAGAATACCGGAAGGTGACGCGTTGCAGTGTTTGACTGAGCGCGCTATGAATTGGCAGGACCGGGCGCGAAATTTGTTGAGTCATCCGGATGTTGCGGCTGCAACGGCGAAGATTCAAACCATGACGCAGAAGTATAATGATTCTAAATCGAAGCACGACAAGAACGGAGATGTAAAGAAGAGTGATAAAGACGCTTCGTTGGTGTCGATGAGCAGCGAAGATGAGTCGCAGTCGGCGATAAGTAGTATTTCTTCAGATGATGAAGATTGTAAAGAAGAACACGCATATTCGATGCACTCGAAGCTAGCCGAGAATGATTTCTGTGTGCAGCTAAAAGAAGGCACCAAGGAATTATTAGCGGATTTGCTGATGGAAGGCGATATGTTGGAGGTGTCGCTGGAAGAGAACGTGCAATTGTTTCAGGTGGCGTTTATGGCCAGAGATTACGTCAAGAATCCAAATATAATTGATTTCGATGTAGGTATTTTCCTATTTTTTTCGAACTGTTTAATATTATAGTGATAATTTTTGTAGGTTGCAACTAAGACGCAAACACCTCGAAAGGGGCGGAAACGCCGCTCGGAGACTGAAGAACCCGCGAAGAAAAAGGAGCTGACTGCAGTGAAGAAGCCCAAAAAGCGGAATCAAAAGGAGCCGGGCGGTAATGGCGTGAAAGCGGCAGCGTCGGCAACGCGTAAACGCAAAGGCCGGGCGCGTAATTCGCAATCGAGCTCCGATGAGGAAGCTGACGAGGACGCAATGTGCGCGGTTGCCAAGTGCCTCAAGCCCGTCGGCGATGAAGTCGATTGGGTTCAGTGCGACGGCGGCTGCGAACAGTGGTTCCACATGGCGTGCGTCGGTCTCTCGGCGAAAGACATTAACGAGGACGAGGATTACTACTGCTCGGCGTGTTCGCCCCCTGAGACGGTGAAAGAACAATTGAAACTGGCGAACAGCGCCAGCGAGCTAGTTATAGAGTATTAAATTTACATAATTTCATACGTAGTTGAAGATGTAAGTGGCGCGAAGACCAAAAACAATTGGTGTCATATTTCGTCAATTTTTGATGTCACTGATGTGAGTTTAGCTAATTGAATTCGAGATCGTTACACATTGTCTTGAAATTGTTGCGTATAGGTTTCATTCAGCGGCTTGCAATATGCGATTTTACTTTTAAAAATGATGCGTTCTATTTGTGATAATTTTAGTTATAATGACACCAGGCCTTCGGAGTGAATCCCCAGTGTAATTTACTAATTAATCTTTTTCGTCGTTTATTTATTTACATTCTAAGTATATTTCGCTACTAAATATTGTATTTCTACTTTATAACTTACGAATTGTGTTTAGTCACGTTGATTTTCTTCGAATCATTTTAAGCACACAAGGCGTCGGGGCGGAAATTAAAGAAACAGTATTGCGTTTGTTTGAATAGAGTGTATAATGTATATAGATTACGTGTAGGACGGAACGATTGGTTACTTTGCGTAGTGTTCATTTATTTTTATACGAAAATCCAGCAGCGGCGATGCGAGAAGCAAACAAGTGACGTTGCTTTACATTCGCAGATTGAACGCTGCATCTGAGCGCAAACAACATGAATGTTACTTAAGTATTACGTTTATTGTAAATACTTTGTGGATGTGTTAATTACTACTTTATTCACAAGATATAGTATAATTTTTTAATGGATAACAAGATTTTGCATTATACACACACACACACATGCACGCCACGCACGCGCACGTTAGCGAAATCTCATTTTGAGACCTTTGAGGGATAATCACTGATTGACTTTATTACACATGAGATCAAATTTAGCAAAATCAGCATCATTGAATATATTTTTCAATTAATTCATTGTTCTATGATATATGAAACGCTTTCACATGATTGTATTACTCTGTAAAATTGTCGGAATTATCCTTCTTGCCTCTGGCTGCAAGAAATGGTGATGCGGCGCCATAGAAGATCTTTTCTTCCGTGCGGCGATTGCGAATGTTATCCTTTAGTTTCTTGCCGCGGGTGGTGAAGTATGGATCATAGCTGCCGTCCTCATCGGGTCGCACAAGTTCCCAGCGTGGTTCTTCAGCATACAAACGGCTGCTTGTTAAGTAAGGATCACGTTTGCCCCGGTTGGCCCAAAATGGACCGGAGGCATCCGCTCGCGAAGTGCGCTTCCATATGCTACGGCCGAAGCATCGTTGATTTGTCATGAAGTTCCTGCAGGCATTGAAGCCCTCAATACAACTTGCCGATAACTTCAATTCGTTTGATGTTGGATCGTACGTCTAGAAGCAGATTTACAATATTTTGTGTTAAATATATTAATGAGTGAATTTATAGCTTACCTCTTCCAGGGACATTGTGCACGTAACAAAAGCTACCAAGGACAGAATCAAAATGGACGCTACCGCTGCAATACTTCTGATGTTTTTCATCGTGCGATAGATGGTCGGGACTCCTGGCGACTGAAAGGATCGTTTGGTTTTCCGGATCTTAAATACTTTTCGCTCTAAAGGTGAGTGTGTGTTTGCTTATTTTTACGGGTTCGTGATTCTAATATTGGCCTACGGGTCAGGTCAGATTAGCGCGGGGCCACTGGGAGTCTCTTGTGTTGGTGGTTACGGTTGTCACTCGCCGGTCTGATTACTTTCGCATAGGCTTGCGTTTGTTTGCGCTAAACAACTTCTGTCGGCTGGTAATGCGAACATGTTCGAGTAAATAGCGAAATTTCTACTTAGGCGACGCGCAGTTACATGTAGCCAAGGGGTATTGTATGAGATTAAAACATCTTGAAAAATGGGTTTCATTTATAAAGATATATTTTCTTTGAAATTTTTTATGCGTATATTTATTAATTGTATTAGATCGATTAAAAATGTACAGTAGTGTTATTGTCTTGTAAACGACTTAATGCAACATCGTGTATGTTCAATAATCGGATAATAAGTAGGTATATTATGATTAGGGTACAGGAAAGTCATAAAAACGGTATTTGTGTGTTCCTGGCACCTAATTTTGACTCAGTATGATCTAACAAGATATCCGCACATGCATCAGATTGTAAATATTGAAATTCTTTATTAATCACTTTCATACAAATAATTTATTAAAGCGCAATTGCAACTTCTTCATTGCTTTGTAGCTCTGGTGCAGTTTCCTGTAATACAATAATAGTTTCTGCAGCCGAAAATAGATGGCGCTAGTGAGCACCTTTCTTATTATTGTCAATTGTTTTATTTTCTTGATACTAGAGGGTGTAAGTATCGGAAACAGTCAATCTTTTTACATACTCAGTCGGTGTTGCGCTGCGGTTGTGGTTGTACGTGTGTTATTCTCCTTTTCATTTGCTCTTTCCAGCAACTTTTGCATACATTATTTTAAAACACACGTCATTTAGTTCTAATACGTGAAGAGTTGACGGTTTATTTCTTGTGAAATAGAAAATTGGGTGGATTTATTTTCCACGCGCGTGTGTGTGCCGTCGACCGCCGGTTGTTAGATCTAGTTCCAATTGGATTTTTGGATTTTTAAACCACGCGTGTTAGTGAAACGTGTTTGTGCAATGTGGTACTTTATGGGTGGAAGAACAAGATAGTAATGACGCGAAGCATTGTAAAATGGATTTCTTTAATCCTAGCAGGAAGGATGATTTTGATTTTATTTCGGGCACTCGTGTGCGAGGTTTGGCAATGTCAGGGATCAACCCACCACAAGGATTCATGTCGCCGAAAGTCTGGTAAATATTATCTACTTACTATTAAAATTTAAAAAATAATTGAAATATGTACATTTATAAAAATGTAATATTTATATAAATATGAATTTTTGTCCGTTAGTCGTACTAATAGTAATGTGTAATGTGTATTGTTTTTTTTTTAATTTTATTTGCTTCCGAAAATGGTCTCCATCTTGCAATTAATTAGCTGTAGATGGGAGCGCCGTAAAAATACTGCCTAGTGTGCTAGTTGTGACAATGTTATTCAGGTATAGTTTAGATACACGAATATTTGTATGTAGACAATTTTTGGTTGAGCTTATCGTAATAACAACACCGCGTGGTCGGTTCATAGCGCGCATTCAGTTCCATTCCGGTTGCCGAGCAGAACACGCGTGTTCATCGCGACTAGTTTTATTTCTCCCTATTATAAATTGATCGTAAATCGATTTATATTCAATAAGCAATCGACGACATTTATTAGAATTGCGCGTGAACGGAATTTTGCCAGATAATAGCACGAGTGAACTACTGTCGGTCGTCGGGAATATTTTTCGCGTGTGGATTATACTGCACTCGTGTTGGCCTGCATGTGCACGGCGTGCGTGTCCGCTGTCGGTTATCGCCCAGAATAACTTGGATTTATGTTTAATTCGTATAAGTAGACAACGGATGTGTCCGGAGAAGAAGTTTACACTTACAGGGACCCTGGAGTTCGAATATTTATCGCAGAAGAATTGTAAATGTGCGCATTTTTAAGGCAAGTCTTCCGCGGCATTTAATAGTTGTCGATATTTTTCTGTATAATAAATGTTTGTATTTGTAAATGTAGTCAATAAAATAAAATTAATATCAATTAATATCTCATTCATATTTGCTTTTGGTATCCTTTTTGCCGTTTTCAGTATATGAGCTTTTCACACAATCAATATAGATATTAAACGCGTGCAGTAAGTGTAACATATCTGAGACTTGTGTTGTGGTTTTTAAAAAGTTACATAAAATAGAAACATAAATAAAAGAATCAAATATAAATGATAAAAACACTCGGTGGTCGAGTGGACACGTGCACCTGTTGGCATGCTGGTAGGCACGGATCGAATCCCAGGTATAGAAGGCATTTTTCTCAAATATAAAAATAACACGAGAAATTTGGGTTGCATATATGAACTGCAACGAAATATAAGAGAAATTGAGAAACAATAGAGAAAGGGAGAACAGAGAAAATAGGAGAAGTAGAAGAAGGAATTGCAGAGAAGAGGAGGAGGAGATAGAAGAAAGAGCAACAGGAGAGGATCAGATTTTTAAATTTTTTGGCACGTGTCGTTATAAGACAGTCACAGGTCGATCTCTCAGAGCGCCTCCGGCGCTCTGGTCGATCGCCCACTGCTTCGATGCGTCCATTGCTCCCGGCCCAACCTACAGCTACGATGTCTCTGCGCTTCATCCCCGAAATACTCAGGCATATCAACAATTTTTATGGTGGGGGATCACCCCCAGAGAGAGGGAACTCCTTATAAGGACGTCCTTTTAAGGACTTGTAAAAATATTTCTAATTTTTAAGTCGTCTCAAGAGAGGGGACACTTACAAATATTCTTACAAGTTCTGACCTGTAGCTGAAATGAAAGATGGAGTATACAAGTCATACAGGATACCTTAACAATTTTTATAGTGGGGATCATCCCCTGAGAGAGGGACCTCTCTTAGAGACCTGTACCTGAAATGATAGAAAGGGTACATTCAAAGCAGAAGACATAATATTTCTTAACATTTCTTTATTAATAAATACAATGTAAAATAATACAGTCAACAGAATTCATGCCGCCATATTGAAATTGGGATTACGACCTGCTTAGCCGCGCAAGTAAGCGCGTACTACTTAGTGAAGTTCTAGCGGGATAAAACAATTAGCAAAGTCAATTTTCTTCGTGATTGAAAACACAAATACAGGGTGTTACAAAAGAAAATTAAGTGCAGACAGGAAAACATCTAAACACTTAACTATCGCTGGTTTCTCACCGTTACTCTGGGAAACAAATATACAGGGCGCTACAAAAAGAAAATTCAAAGTGCAAAAAGTTAAATTCTAATAACAGTCAAACCAAAATTTTCAGAGATTTGAAGGAAAACGATTATACAAGGTGCCACAAATAGAAAATTCAAACATTAAAGAGGAAAACATCTAAACACTACAAATATTGCTCGTTTTCACCCGATACTTCAGGAAACTAATAAACAGGGTGTTACAAAAACTTGAAGTACAAAAAAGCCCTAAAACCACAGCTGAAGGAAAGTTTTCACGGACACAAAGAAAAGCAAATATATAGGGTGTTCCAGAAGGAAAACCCCAAGTTTAAAACAAAGAACACTCAAAATTCACAAATAAAGGCGATTTACTAAGTGTTGTTGGGAAAACAAATATACATACATATATAATTGGAAACTACAAAAATGGTCAATATTCATATCATGTCGAGAGAAATTTATACCAAAACAATTTTAACATAAATTCAAAGATTTACCCGAAAATCATCGGAGAAGTTCAGTAAAATGGTGCTACAAGAATAAAACACTTACATTTTAATATATTGTGTATATATTTATTATTTGATGACAGCATCAACTGCATAAGGTAACCGACGGGTGAAGCATCATCATAAATTGATAGAACATCCGGTGGAAAACATCTAAATCAGCAGACGGCTATTTACTTACTATTTACTTGTAAGTATTAAGATGTATGTAGACTATGATAGCGAAAAACTATTCAACGTACAAGATTTTATTAGATCAACACGAAACTTTTAATTTAATGATGATAAGGATTGTAATTCGATTAAAAACGTTCACCACAAAAATATTGTCATTTTAATAATCCTCAGATACTTTTTAACACTGTGCTTGTAATAATTAAATTATGCATGTTATTTTCGGAAATGGAACTAAGAATTCTGATAAAAATGCTACCATGTGTTTGTAATCTGCAAAATGAATATCCCTTAAATGGAATAACCAATTTAAATTAAACCGCCTTAACTTCTTGCGACAAAAAGTGTTTAAACACCTACCAATGCATTGATGAAGAAATTTTAGATCCGAAAATATAATATATTATTATATTATCTACCGAAAACTCGCGCAGAGATTAACGGACACTTATTTCTCAGTTATGAACACTCTAACCGCCACAACTCATCAAACAAAACAAGCATACATGCTCGTAACGAATATTTTGCTGATGATGAAAAGAAAACACGACGATTAAATGAATAATTGAAGTCTGAAAACGCATGGCGATTAGAGAGACGCGTTCGCGAACCACGCGGTGAAACGACTGCTGTATGCGCTGCGCGAAGCCAAGTACAAGGCAGGGTACGTAGCGATAAGCGATAGCGTACGTAGCGTCAGTCGAACAAAAAAGTTGTTTATACACAAACGTAGTGGTAAACACGTAGTTGAGAAGACGAAAGTAAAATTCACAATATTGAAATAACACACATACACGAAATCTATTTTACTTTCAATATTTCTCGGCATAAGAAAAGAATATATTGGTTTTGGGATGCAATAAGGATGAAGAAAAACAGGAATTTTTAATTTACCAATAAAAATAAATAATTTATTGTTTTCTAATTGTCTTTGCATAAGTTTACTGTATACCTAAGTTAAATTCTTAATATACGCAAAATTTCCTATAAGATAAGCTAGCTAAAATGAAAATCTAATAGTAGATTATGAAATATTGGATATATATCTCTATTAGATAAGAATATAAAATTATTTAATTTAATGAAGTCGAAAAATGCGACTAAAATTGCTCAAAAGTGAAATTTTTCAATTTCAATTGCTCATTTCTTTCAATTACAAATATCTCGTAAATTAAAAGAGATAGAAAGGAACAGATGCAGATTCGTAATCTTCGGAAAATTCTCTATAAGGCTAGTTAAAATAGAAATTTAAAAGATGAAATTTTAATTTTTGATGACAATTTACTGCCACGATTTTCAACAAAGTGACTTTTATTATTGAATATGGAAGATTGAAAAATGCTCTATCAGACCGAAATTTAAAATAATT